TCTGTATTGATTATCGACAGCTTAATAAGGTGACCATCAAGAACAAGTATCCCCTTCTGCGCATTGATGACTTGTTTGATCAACTAAAAGGAGCTTCGGTATTTTCGAAGATCGATCTACGTTCGGGTTATCATCAATTGAAGATTCAGGAGAAAGATATTCCGAAGACGGCTTTCAAAAAGAGATATGGTCATTATGAATTCATCGTAATGCCATTCGGAGTAACGAATGCACCAGCTGCTTCATGGATCTCATGAACATGATTTTTCAGTCCTATTTGGACCAGTTTGTTATTGTCTTTATTGATGACATACTGGTTTGCTCGAAGTCCATTGAAGAGCATAGTGCACATTTGAGGCTAGTTTTGCAAATTCTCAGGGATAAGAATCTCTATGCGAAATTGTCCAAATGTGAATTGTGGCTAAACGAAGTAATTTTCTTGGGGTATGTGATCGGCAGTTAGGATTAGAGTGGACCCTCAGAAGGTTAAAGCTATAATGGACTGGGAAGTTCCAAAGAATGTATCTAAAGTTCAGAGTTTCCTTGGACTTGCTGGTTATTATCGAAGATTTGTTAAGAATGGTTTGATGATAGTGATGCCTTTAACAAAGATTATGAGAAAGAATGTACCGTTTGTTTGGACTTCTGAATGTCAAGAAAGTTTTGAAGCTTTAAAGAGAATTCTGACAGAAACTCCGATATTGGTTCAACCAGAATCTGGCAAGAATTTTGTAGTATACAGTGACACATCCCATAACGGTTTGGGGTGTGTATTAATGCAAGAAGGGAAGGTGGTAGCGTATGCATCGAGGCAGTTGAAACCACATGAAAAGAATTACCCCACCCATGATTTAGAAATGGATGCCGTGGTGTTCGCTCTCAAGATTTGGCGTCATTATCTGTATGGAGAAAGATGTTACTTGTATACAGACCATAAAAGTCTGAAGTACCTGATGACTCAAAAAGAGTTGAATTTGAGGCAACGTAGATGGGTAAAGTTCTTAAAAGATTATGATGTGATAATTGACTATCATCCAGGAAAGGCTAACATGGTAGCAGATGCTTTGAGTAAAAAATGTTTGCAGCTTTACGAGCTATGGATGCAAGATTATCTTTAACGGGAGACGGTGGTCTTTGTGCAGAGTTAACACTTAAACCAACATGGTTGGAACGAATAGGAAAATTACAAAGTAAAGATGAAACCTGTTTGAAAAAAATTGAGCAAGTAAAGAGTAAATAGATTAAAGACTTTGAGGTTAAGTTAGATGGAAATTTGTATTATAAAGGAAGAATTGTAATACCTGACAATGAAGATTTGAAGAAAGAAATATTAGCAGAGGCTCATTGCATTTCATTAACGATGCACCTAGGTGGAACCAAGATGTATATGGATTTGAATGATCGATTTTGGTGGTCAGGGATAAAGCGAAGCATCACTGAATTTGTGTCTATGTGTTTGATATGTCAACAAGTCAAAACTGAGCATCAAGTTCGTCAGGATTATTGCAACCACTTTACATTCCTCAATGGAAATGGGAAAATGTTACGATGGATTTTGTTTTGGGGTTACCCTTGACTTTGAACAAAAGGGAATCAATTTTGGTAATTGTTGATCGATTAACTAAGTCAGCGCATTTCCTTCCGGTTAGAACATATTTCTCTATGGAAAAGTATGCAGAACTGTATATTAGACAAATTATTAGATTGCATGGAGTGCCTGTTTCCATAGTCTCTGATCGAGACCCTCAATTCACTTCTAGGTTCTGGAAAACTTTGCATGGAGCATTGGGAACTCGTTTAAACTTTAGTACGGCTTTTCATCCTCAGACTGACTGGCAATCAGAGAGAACTATTCAGATATTGGAAGATATGTTGAGAGCATGCGTAATGGAATTCAAAGGATCATGGGAAAAGTATTTACCGCTGGCAGAGTTCGCTTACAACAATAGTTATCAGTCTAGTATAAAGATGGCCCCATATGAAGCATTATATGGGAAAAAATGTCGTACTCCATTAAATTGGTATGAACTCAAAGATCGAAATATTCTTGGTCCGGATTTAATTCAGGATGTAGAAAAGAAAGTTTGAGAAATTCAGCATAACCTCAAAGTGGCCTTTGATCGGTAAAAGTCCTATTATGATCTTATAAGAAAAGAGATTGAGTTCGAGGTTGGAGATAAAGTTTTCCTTAAAGTATCTCCTTGGAAGAAAGTATTACATTTTGGTCAGAAAGGAAAGTTAAGTCCTAGATTCATTGGGCCATATGAAGTTGTTAAGAGGATAGGACCCGTGGCATATCAGTTATCCTTGCCACCAGAAATGGAGAAGATCCATAACGTCTTCCATATGTCCATGTTACGAAGATATAGGTCCGATCCCTCTCACATCATTGCACCAGAAAAAGTAGAAATCCAATCGGATCTGACATATGAAGAAGAACCAGTGAGAATATTGGCTTTTGAAGTCAAACAGTTAAGGAATAAGACGGTTCTGTTGTTCAAGGTTCTTTGGAGAAATCACAAGGTAGAAGAAGCCACGTGGGAACGTGAAGAAGATATGCGACTTCAATATCCCCATATGTTCGTACAATGAAAATTTGAGGATGAATTTTCTTAAGGGATGGAGATTTGTAACATCCCCCATACCAGGTTAGTGATTAAATTATGAAATTTTAAAATTTAGTGATCAAAGTTAATAAATTGAAAGTTGAATGAATTGATTGAAATATTTGGGTAGGGTCAATTAGTAAAGCATGGGGAACTAAAGGGGCAAATAAGTCTTTTGACAAAAAAATAATTAAATATTTCTTAAGGATATTTAATAAACCAAGTGGAAAGCTAATGAGAAAAACAAGGTTCTGGATATTTCTTTCTTCTTCATTCTCCTTCTCTGCCGTGAAGCCAAGCTAAAGGTGAGTTTTCTTGTGTTCAAATTCTTGATGAATTTAAGGTTGCTTATTGATCCTTAGTTGATAACTAAGCTTAAGGAAAGCTTAGATTATCTTAAAACCATAGGATGAGGAGAATATGAAGAATCAAAGAAAGGAAGTAGAAAAGTGAAATCTTGGATTAGAGTTCCTAATAAGAATTAGAAGTGGGATTTGACTTATCATAAAGCTAACTAAGAGGTATGAAGTGTTAGAATTCAAATTAGAACATGTTGGAATTTGGGTTAGATTCTTAAACTCTACATGGAGAATTGGATTTTTAAGTTTTAAAAGTATGGAATGGATAATAATTAGTTTAAGTAAGAGTATGAAAGTTAAGGATATAAAAAGAGGGGAAATATAAAGTGTTAAGCAGACTAAGAAGAGATTTTCGTGCTAAAATGACAATTCTGGGCAATGTGCATCGATGCACATTCATTGTGCATCGATGCATCAATGATAGATCCCATAAATTATTTAAGGTACATCGATGCACATGAAGTGCATCGATGCATTAATTTTAAAGAAAAACATCGAATGCCATCAATGCATCGATGCATAAGGAGTGCATCGATGCATCCCATTAAATACAAACATCGAATAGGATTTATGCATCGATGCATGCTGTAGTGCATCGATGCATACCTCCATTAAAAGATGAAAATGGCTTTTCTTTTAGCCTAAGAAATGATAGTTTAGAATATATTAATTAGTATACTGATAAGTATCAATGAATTACTGTGTAGATATCGAGCCTAAACGAGTTCTGGAACAATCGACAAGTAGGATTGATCGAGGGAAAGACAAAGAAATCTAGGTGAGTGCATACGCATAGTATGAATATGTATTCTATTCAGTTCTAGACTTGTGATAAGTCTAGATTCAATATTTTGATACATGATCGCATTTCATATTATGATACATGACATGAATTCATACCATATGCATTATGTGACATGAATATGCAAGAAAAAGTTATATGTCTATGTGATAAAGTTATGAAAATAACATGTCTACGTGATACAAATTATGTGAATGGGGAAAGCCCATGTTATGTAGATGAGAACTATATGTATAGTTGGCATGCCAAGGGTAGAGGGTCTACGCGGTCCTTCGGGATATATATATATTCTTTGGAACATGTGTGAAGTCTTGTGAAACACATACTTGATCCCTAGTATATGTATATGATTCTTAAGGAATGATATATGGTCCTTATGGACATTATTATATGGCACTACGGTGCAATTCTACGCGGCACTCCGGTGCAATTCTACGTGGCACTTCGGTGCAATTATACGAGCTGTGGTGACAGCATAGTGCACAACCTCACAATACTCACATACCTTAGGTTCCCAGTATGGTACCATGGGCTAATAAACTTAATAAGGTGAACTTATGAATGTGAATTTGATAAGTATATGTGTAAGAAACATGGTTCTGGTTATTACATTATTTACATACATCTTATCTTTGCAACCCATCTTATTTTGGCAATTCCTTTATATTTATTGATATTATTATATTGCCTCACTAAGTCGATGACTTAGCGTGTGAGTATTTCACACGTAGGATCCGATAAAGTAGACGATCGAGGTTAAGCAGCTAGACAACATTACTCTTGCAACTATCAGATCAGAAGCAACTGAATCAGTAGGTCATTTTGTTATGTAAATGGATGTTGGCATGTAACTAAAGGGTTAAGTTGTGTATGCTCTGAGTATTTTGATAAACTTGTATTAATATATGTATATTATTTATTTTTAATAAAATAAGTTCAAATGTTTTATCGGTTTTTTTAAGTATTGTTTTGTTTAGTCAATGTGACATCCTGGACTCATATCCGGGTCGGATATGAGTTGAGGATGTTACAACATGTCATTTACTTCTGAATTTCGAGAGAACCGATTATAGATTTGATTCACTTCAAGCATGAAGTTACAAAATGAAACAATGCACAATCTAATAAATAACTTCACGAAATATATTCAAACGAAGATTTAACAGAAAGATCTACAGCTTGCATATAGAAATGAGGAAGTTTTTTCCTTATTTCATTTATTGCATTTTTACTTTCATACTCTGTGTCTCAATAAATTCTCAAATTAGCATACTTATTATCATAGCTTCCTTGACCATACATATACAAGAAGATTTGCAATTTCAATTTTTCCTTCTGCAATTTATCAATCTGCATAAGTGAATATTATTCAATAATGAATATCTTATATCAATATTCGTTAGAGAAAATAAAAAATTACACACAACCACTGTCAGAGATTAGTTACCTAAGTTAAGAAGATTGAGTTGGATTTGTAAATATTATATCTAGTTAGTATCCCTAAATCTATGGGATTCTTTTTATTACTAGAATTAGTCTCTTACCTAGTTTAGAAGTTACATAAGATAAGGCTTAGGCTTGTATATATAATTGTAAGTTTCCTACTCGTTTAATAAGAGTGAATTTCAGTAAAATTCATGGCTTTTGTCATGGTATCAGAGCTAATCAGTTTTGGGTCTTAATATCCTTATTAAGCGTTTTTTTCATAGATCTTAAGAAAGTATGGAACCTGATTAGCAAAATTTAGGCGATACAGGTGATTTCAGCAACACAAAAATTGCTCAATGAGGCACAATGGGTGAGGGAATTCACTCTAATTCGATAAGTGAGTTACAAAACATACAAGTCGCTTATAAGTTAAATGGAAACAACTATCTTAGGTGGTCACAACTGGTTTGGACTTTCCTAAAAGGGAGACGTAAACTTGGTCATGTCTTCGGAACGGGTCCAAATGAAGGAGATTCCAGATTTAAGGTTTGTGATGAACAAGACTAATTGGTTATATCTTGGTTGTGGAATTTAATGGTGCCTGAAATTTGTGACACCTGCATGTTTCTTGACACAACCCAAGAGATATGAGAGGTTGTAAAACAAACTTATTCGAAGGTTTGAGATACTTCCCAGATTTATGAAATCAAGAGCAAGATTTCAACCATTAAGCAAAAGCAAATCTATAATAGAGTACTCTAATATGCTGCAAAATGTATGACAGGAAATGAACCACTATCAATGTATTTAGATGAAATACACTAAGGATGCAGCAATCCTAAAAAAGTTTGTAGAAAAAGATATGATTTATGATTTTCTTGCTAGACTAAATGTAGAATTTGATGCAATAAGGGTCCAAATTCTAGGAAAAGAATACATGCCCCCACTAAATGAAATTATTTCTATCATTTGTGTTGAATAAGTAAGAAGAGGAGTGATGGTGGATGAAAATAATCAAGTAGAAAGCTCAGCCTTGGTTACTAAGGTTGTTTCTGATGGACCAAATCGTCTAGAGCAGTAGAATATTGAAGGTAGAGAAGGAACAAGAACGGTTAACAATGACTCCTTATGATGTTCTTACTACAAAACCCTCGTCACACTAAAGAGAAATGTTGGAGGTTGCATGGAACGTCTCATACTACAAATAAGAACTTTACAGAGAAAAGAGGTTCAGCAAGAGGACAAAGAAGAGCTTATGTAACTAAACATGTGGCTAAGGATTCTGATGAACAATATGTTGAATTAAAATGGGAATAAGTATGAAAATTGAAGAACCTACTGGAATCTTTAGAAAAGCCATCCTCTGCAGTACATGCAATTTCATTTTCTCAGGTATATCTTATTCCTCTTCTCATAATTCTAATGCCTTGGAATCATCTACCCACATACCTACCCAAAACTCTTGGATAATTGACACATAATCCACTGACCACATGACTAATTCTTCACTGAACTTCCTCACCCACATACCTTGCTCTAGCAACAAGAAAATCACAGTTGCAGATGGTATTATGGTAATGGTTACTGGCCAATGAGATATTGTCATCAGTAAAAACCTACTGCTTAAAAATGTTCTACATGTGCCAAACTATTTACTAGCTTTATCTCTATTCCAAAACTTATCAAAGACACTAACTGCAGTGTTTTATTTCATCCTACACAATGTATTTTTCAGGAGCAAGAAACGAAGAGGATGATTGGGCGTGCTAGGGAAATAAATGGCTTATATTACCTTGAAGACCTTAGTAGACCAACCATAGTTTTTAATACTCAACCATTATCTTTTTTATCCGAATCTACAACCATTAAAGACCAAATCTGGCTACATCACTTTCGCTTTGGTCACCTACCTTTTAGACTCTTAAAACTATGTTTCCCTCCTTGTGTAATTCCTTAAATGTTGAAGAATTTCATTGTGAAGTTTGTGAATTTGCAAAGCATAAATGTCCCTCTTTTCTAGAAAGTAATAAACGAACCAACAATCCCTTTACCTTTATCTATGGGGATGTTTGGGGGCCTTCCACTATTCCTAACGTAACTGGAGCTAGGTGGTTTGTATCTTTTATAGAAAATTATACTCCGGTTACTTGGATTTATCTACTAAAACAAAAGTCTAGTGTTACCTCTACCTTTAAAACCTTTTACACCATGATCAAGACTCAGTTTAAGGTTGAAATAAAACGAATTAGATCAGACAATGCCATGGAATACTTTAATCAAGTCATGTATCCTTATTTCTTAGAAAGAGGTATTTTACATGAGTCCCCTTGTGTAAACATTCCCCAACAGAATGAGGTAGCATAAAGAAATAATTGACATCTTATTGCCATAACTAGAGCCCTTTTATTTCAAAACAATGTTCCTAAAAGGTACTAGGGGAAGTGTGTTAACTACCACTTACATGATAAACAAACTACCCACTAAAGTCCTTGAATCCCAAAGTCCCCTTCAAACCCTTATAAAGTTCTTTCCAAATTTCAATACATCGCTTAACCTAAAACCAAGCGTATTTGGGTGTGCTGCTTTTGTTCACATTCATTCTCAAGGCCGTGGGAAACTTGATCTAAGGGAATTAAAATGTTTTTTTATTGGGTATTCCTCCACTCAAAAGGGCTACAAGTTCTACAACCCTCCTACAAGATAATACTACACTTCTACTGATGTCACTTTTATGGAAAAAAAGAGTTATTTTTACAGTTCCTTATCTTGACGGGGAGACATCATTTAGGGAAGATAATGATGTAGATTTGTTTTTACTTCAGCCCCTTGTTGATTTTCCTACACCTACACCTATACCTATACATTCTACAGAAACACAGTCTGCTTCTACTTCATCCTCTCCCTAGTCATAACCTAGTACTCCTCAACCAAACATTAATACATCATAGCCCAATATTTAGGACACTACTTATCCCCTAAGGGTTTATTCGAGAAATAAGGCACTTATGCATATTCAATCATCCCATTCTCCTGCTTCTACTCCTATACAATTTGAGGTACACTATGAAATTCCTTCTGAACAAAGTGATGCTGAAAATACTATATTTGCTTCTGATTTTGAATTTCTCATTACTATTAGAAAAGGAAAAAGAACTTGCACCACCAAACATCCTACCTATTTGTTTTTTACTTACAAAAACCTATCCCCCAATTACAGAACCTTCCTTACTAGCCTAAATGACATTGTTATTCCTAAATCAGTATATGAGGCATTAGAAATGACAACTGGAAAAAAGGTATGAAAGAGGAAATAGAGGCACTATAGAAGAATAAGACATGGGATATAGTGAATCTGCCAGAAGGGAAAAACAGTAGGATGCAGATGGGTACTTACTGCTAAGTTAAATCAGATGGTTCTATAGAAAGGTACAAAGCAAGATTGGTGGCAAAGGGGTACTCTCAAACCTATGTAATTGACTATCTTGAAACCTTTACCCTATTGCAAAGATGAACAAAGTGAGGGTCTTATTGTCCTTGGCAGCTATTCAGTGATGTAATTTGCAGCAGTTTGATATCAATAATGCTTTTTGCATGGGGACCTTGAAGAAGAAGTTCACATGGATATTCACCCGGATTTGATTCGAATACTGGACAAACAGTGTGTAAGTTGAGAAAAGCTCTTTATGGACTAAAACTAGGCTTCAAACAAAGTCAAGGTGATCATACTCTATTTGTGAAATACTCTTCATCAGGGGGAGTAACTGCATTATTGTGTATGTAGATGATATAATTGTTACAGGTAATGATTCTGAAAAGTTTTGAATTTAAAGAAGTGTCTTATAAAGGAGTTTGAAGTGAAGGACCTTGGAAGATTAAAATACTTCCTTGGTATTGAGGTGGCTCACTCACAACAAGGGATTTTTATATCTTAGCAAAAGTATACATTGGAATTGTTGAAGGAAACTGGAAAACTAGGAAGTAAACCAGCAAAAACTCCTATAGAAATCAATCACAAGCTTGAAGACTCAAAAGAGGATGATATGGCAGTTGACATAAGTTTTTTTAGAGACTGGTGGGAAAGCTTATCTATTTGTCACACACCAAACCAGACATAGCATTTGTTATTGCGGTTGTAAGTCAATTCATGCACAATCCTAAGGAATCACACCTAAGGGTTATAGTCCAAATTTTGCAGTACTTGAAGGGTACACCAGGTAAAGGAATTATATTTAGAAGAGGGGGAACTTGACTCTGGAAGCATACATGGATTCATATTATGTAGGATCTATAATTGATAGAAGGTCAACCTCAGGTTATTGCACTTTCTTTGGAGTAAACTTGGTTACTTGGAGAAGAAAAAAACAAAATGTGGTGGCTAGATCAAGTGCAGGAGCTGAATTTCGAGCTATGGCATTGGGAATTTTTGAGTTATTGTGGATGAAGATTATTTTAGGAGACTTGAAGATAAAGTGGAATAGACCAATGAAACTCTATTGTGATAACAAGTCAGCAATCAACATTGCTCATAATCCAATTCAACATGATAGAACAAAACTTGTTGAAGTAGATAGACATTTCATAAAAGAGAAACATGACAGTGGCCTGACCTGTACTCCCTATGTGACCATTGGAGATCAAGTTGCAGACATACTTACCAAAGGTCTACCTGGTAAGTATTTTCAGAAGTTAACAGGTAAGCTAAGGATGGAAGATATCCATGCTCCCAGCTTGAGGGGGGAGTGTCAGAGATTAGTTACCTAAGTTAAGAAAATTGAGTTGGATTTGTAAATATTCTATCTAGTTAGTATCCCTAAATCTAAGGGATTCTTTTTATACTATAATTAGTCTCTTACGTAGTTTAGAAGTTACCTAAGATAAAGCTTAGGCTTGCATATATAATTGTAAGTTTCCTACTCATTTAATAAGAGTGAATTACAGTAAAATTCATGTTTTTTGTCAACCAGGTAGATAGAATTTCTAGAGAAGCATGCATTCTAACCCCAGCCTCAGATGCAACATTTCCCCTTTCCCCAATATTGTAATGAACAAAGAGGGGGAAAGAACTGGAATTATCAAAAGAATAGACATACCAAATCATTGAGAGATTTGATTTCCACAATCTGTTCAGCACACACTTCTGCCAAGCACTTTTGTAGGTTTGTCTATTCGAAGTTTTTTTATAAATAAATAAAAAACACATCGATTAGAGATTGAATAGATCTGAGCTACCAATGTGCTTAAAATTGACAATTAACAACTAAAAAGTTCCAAAACATTCAAAATTCATATTATAAAGATCTTTCTTTATTATATATATCAAATTAAAGAAACTGGACCCATTTTATGAAAGACCACAATCTTCAAATTGCATGCTTGATAATTAAATGGAACACTAATAAAACAGGAACATGACTTTTCTTTTTATAAGTGGCACATAAGATTGAAAGAATAAAAACCAGTAACTACATGGTGGTGCATAAACACACAATTCTGAACATCTAAAAAGATATTCTATCCGACAATCAAGTTCCACCAGTTGGTATAGAAGTACCTCATTGTGTTTATCTCAAGTTATTCAACCATTTAAGCACTCTTCATCAGTATTGGAAACTTCCAAATTTTTATTCGCCGAAAAGAACAAATAAGGATAAGATAAAAACCTTACCACTTAACAAAGCTTTTAGTGTTTGGGCTTCTTCATGAAGAGAAATAGCTTCATGTGCAGTCTCCTTCCAGTGGTTCAACTGAGCTTCCATCATTCCCATTTCCTTTGACAGAGCTGATGTCATCACACAAATTTCTGCTTTAATGTCATTTCTTCCTGAAAAGGTAGCATTTATATAAACTAAAAAATCCAAAAGTTTCCACCTTAAATTTAAAATTTTATAATGTACAATCCTGATTTACTATTTTACCTGCATCTTGGATAACTTCTTCCATTTTGATCTTCATATCATTTCTTTCTATGATACAGTTTTGGTGCTCCAGATTTAGCTCCTCAATTCTAGAACCAGCATTATCAATTGTGTGCCTAGCAGAATCGGCTGACTCAACTTTCATATTTAGTTCCTTATCCCTCCTAAAACCTGTCAGTCTGAAATTATACTTTCAAGACATACCAAAAAGTAGTCAAACAACCAAAGCATGTGAAAAAGAATATCAAGCAGCTTAACCTGCAGAGCATCTGACAGTGCTTTGTATTGTTCCATTTCAACATTCCAATGCTGAAGCTGATCATTTAACAAAGTGTAGAGCCGAGAGGATTTTATGAATTTGTCATCCTTCAGTTCATTCTAAAAGAATATTTTTTGCAAGTTAAACTACTTGAACACGTAGTGCTATTTAAAAAGGAAGTTTAACTTAAAAGAAAACAACTTTCAGAGGTCAAAAATCCAAGCAAACCTATAGATCCTTGAGTTGCTTTGAATATATTAGGTTTTGTTCCTGTGCATCTTGAAGTTCAGAAAGTAGATCTACTGCTACTATCTGCAACACTTGTTTAGTAACATATTCTACAAGATTAGTCACACAAAGATAGAGAAGTAAAAAAGAAGTTACGTAAACCAATACCTTTGTCTCCTCAATCAAATCCTTTATCTCTCGCAAGCCCATTGTCTTATCGGCAGGCTTTCCTAGAGACAAGCTGCCATTTGCTACAACTGGAGTTGATGCATGCATCCCAGATGCTATATTCTTCTGCATTTTTAGGTCAACTAGTTTTCTTATTCTTTCTTCAAGTTCGACCATTATTTCTTCCTGCTCACCTTTAAGTATCATTAAATTATTTACAGCTTTAACATACAATCATAAGAAGACCTAAAACAAAAGGAGCATGTTGTTCAATCTACCAATAACTAATCGAAGAACGAACACAGAACAAGAATCCAGAAAACAAACCAGAAAATCAAGAACACCAAAATATTTACGTGGTTCGGTCAGTGTGACCTACATCCACATGAAGGAATCAATTTCACTAAAGAAAACGAAACAAGATTACAAGATTTAGAACCAGAAGTAAGAACTCTCTCTAAATCTCTCAATACAATTTGATCTCTCCTTGAACCCTCTCAACTCACTTACATCTTTATTTATAACTAAAGACCCTCTCCAAGTTGATCGGTTCAGCAACCAACTGCCAAAGTCAATGACAGTTATAATTGAGTTAGTTTTGGCTTCCAACTGTCGCAACCACCTTCTGATTTATACCATTGCCTTAGTCCAGTAAATTGTGAGTCATTTCAACAATTCTCCACCTTGACTCTCAATTACAAACCTCCAAAAAAGATTCCCTCCTCTCAGCCCCAAAGGGCTTTCACTTCTCAGTTGAGTTCACTAAGTCCAGACAGTGTCTGAACTTAGCTACTGGCAGTGCCTTTGTGAGCATGTCAGCTGGATTTTCTTCAGTGGGTATCTTCTTCACTATTATCGAACCTTTAGCAACAACATCCCTCACAAAATGGAGTTTCACGTCTATATGTTTAGATCTCTCGTGAAAGACCTGGTTCTTTGTCAAGTGGATTGCGCTTTGATTATCACAGAACATGGTTACAACCTTCTGCTGTATACCAAGTTCTTCAACCATGCCCTTTAGCCACATAGCCTGCTTAATTGCTTCTATCACAGCAATGTATTCAACCTCAGTTGTTGAAAGAGCTACAACAGATTGGAGATTGGATTTCCAACTGACTGCAGTACCAAAGACTGTGAAAATGAATCCGGTTAGTGACTTCCTAGTGTCAATGCTCCCAGCATAATCAAAGTCCACATAGCCAACCACTTTCTCCCTTTCATTTTCTTGTTTCTTAAACAACAGTCCTAACTCAATAGAACCCCTTAAGTATCTCAGGGTCCACTTCAAATCTTCCCAGTGAGCTTATCTAGGATTTGCCATGAATCTGCTTATAACACTGACAGCGTAAGCCAAGTCTGGTCTGCAGCAAATTATTCCATACATAATGCTACCAACCCCACTAGCATAAGGGACACTCTCCATATATTTTTTCTCATCTTCACTCTCAGGTGCTTGAGTGTTTGACAATCTAAAATGTTGTCCAATTGGTGTTGTAACCTGCTTGGCCTTATTCATGTTGAACCTTATTAATACTTTCTGAATATATGACTTCTGGGATAAGAACAGTCTACTTTTCTTTCTGTCTCTTGTGATTTCCATCCCTAAGATCTTCGTAGCAGGCCCAAATCTTTCATATCAAACTTTGAGTTGAGCATATCTTTAATTTCTTGGACTTCCTCCTTGCACTTGCTAGCTACTAACATATCATCCACATATAGGAGCAGATAAGTACTTATTTCACCATCTTGCTTCTTCATGTATACACAGCTGTCATAACTGCTTCTAGCAAACCCAATCCTTAACATAAATTCATCAAATCTTTTATACCATTGTCTTGGGCTTTGTTTAAGTCCATACAGTGATTTCTTTAGTAAGAAGACTTTGTCCTTGGTTTCAAGAGTGCAATACCCATCTGGCTGGTCCATATAGATAGTTTCTTCCAACTCTCCATGTAAGAAGGCATTTTTAACATATAATTACTCCAGTTCCAAGTCATATTGAGCAACTAGTGCTAAAATCAACCTGATTGAGCAATGTTTTACAACCGGTGAAAAAATTTCACTAAAGTCAATTCCTTCGACCTGTGTAAATCCCTTTGCAACAAGCCTGGCTTTATACCTGGCCTTTCCAACACTTGGTATGCCCTCCTTCTTTTTGAATATCCATTTGTAACCTACTACTCGTTGGTTCTTTGGTCTGTCCACAAGCTCCTAGGTTTTATTTTTCATCAGATAAGCTATTTCCTCATCCATTGCTTTAGTCCACTTATGTCTATCCTTACTTTTCAGTGCTTCTTTGAAGTTGTTTGGTTCAGCCTCTTCAATCTCTTCTGCAACGTTCAATGCGTAAGAGATCAGGTCTGCATGGCCATATCTGTCTGGTGGTCTGATGGTTCTTCTTTGTCTATCTCTCACCAGATTGTAGTCATCCAATCTAGTTTTCGGTTCAGCTTCTTGTTGGTTTTATCCATCTTGATCATGCACTCCAGTCCTTTGATAAGCCATTGTTTGCTGTTGATGCAGCTCCACCTCAATTGGAATGCCCTCTTTAGTAACATTGTTCTTAGTAACATAACTTTGCAGGTTCACCATTTTGGACTCATCAAATACCACATCTCTACTAACGATACATTTCTGTTGGCTATGCTCCATACACCACAATTTATAACCCTTGGTTCCTTGTGGATAGCCAATAAAAATACACCTCAAAGCTCTTGCCTCCAATTTATCTTGTTTGATGTGAGCATATGTTAAACATCCAAATACTTTGAGGTTGTTATAGTTAACTGGTTTCCCATTCCATATTTCCAAAGGGGTCTTCATTCCAATAGCTGTCGATAGGCATCTGTTAATAAGATAACAAGCTGTTGACACAGCTTCACCCCAAAAACTTTTGGGTAAACCAGCATTCAGTAGCATGCATCTCACTCTCTCTAGGAGAATTCTTTCATCCTCTCAGCTAATCCATTCTGCTGAGGAGTATTTCGAACTGTCTTGTGCCTTATAATGCCATTTTTCCTGCAGAACTCATTAAACTGCTCTGAAAAATATTCCAGGCCATTGTCTGTTCTCAAATGCTTCAATTTTGTTTCCATCTTATTTTCAGTGAGAGTTAACCAGTCCTTAAACCATTCAAAAGCTTCATCTTTTGTTTTTAGAATGAAAACCCACACTCTTCTAGTGTAATCATCTATGACAGACAGAAAATACCTCCCACCTCCATGTGTTTGTGTTTTAGCAGGACCCCATAGATCACTGTGTACATAGTCTAATGGTTTCTTTGTTGTATGAGTTCCAGTGAATAACTTTACTCTAGTTGTCTTCCCCAACACACATTATTCACAAAATTCCAATTTATTAATCTTGTCATCACCTAACAGGTTCTGTTTAGATAGTTCTTGTAGGCCCCTCTCGCTTACATGTCCCAATCTCATGTGCCATAGTCTAGCTTTGTCAGTTTCAGATTGAACTACATTTGACGAGTTACAAATCACAGTTCTTCCAATTAGTGAATATAGACCATTACTTATAACTCCTTTCATGGCAATTAAAGAGCCTTTAGTTACTCGTATACAACCATTTTCTTCCTTAAAAGAATAGCCACTTGATTCTAACATTCCTAAGGAAATCAAATTTTTTTTAAGTTCTGGTATGTACCTGACATGTTGCAGTATTCTTTCAGCTCCATCAAACATCCTTATCCTGATTGTCCCACTACCAACCACCTTGCATGATTTATTGTCTCCAAGCAGTACAGTCCCACCATTTACCAGTTGGAGTGTCTCAAACCAATCTTTATGAGGACACATATGGAAGGAGAAACCTGAGTCAAGAATCCATTCTTTTCTTGGTTCTGATTCATTAATTGCCAAAGCTTCAGCCGAATCATAGCCATCAGAGACTACACTTACTTCTCCTGAATCTTTTGGCTTTTCTTGATAATTTTTCTTTCTGTCAGGACAATTCCTTTTGAAGTGGCCTTCTTTATGGCAGTGGTAACACTTGAACGGTCCCTTTGATGACTGATTTCCATTTTTCTTTCCTTTTCTCGATCTTGATCTGTTCTGATTGTTCCTCGTGTCTCTTCTATCTGATCTTCCTCTAACAGTAAGACTATCTCCACTGTTCTCCTCATTCATATCATGTTTCTTTTGAAGCTCTTTGGCTCTAATCAGTGATTGAACCTCATCTAGTGAAATTGTCTGCACTCTTCCATAAAGCATTGCATCTTTGAAATGCTCATAACTCTTGGGTATAGAGTTTAACAACAGTAAAGCCTTATCCTCGTCCTCTATCTTGACATCAATCTTTTCAAGATCATCTATGATCTTAGTAAACTCATCAATCTGCTCTGAGATTAATTTCTCTTCGTGCATTTTGAAGGAGTACAGGCGTTGTTTTAAGAAGAGTTTGTTGCCTAGGGATTTAGTCATATAGAGCAATTCAAGTTTAGCCCAGAGAGCCTGAGCCGTTGTCTCTCTTGACACTTCCCTCAGAGCTTTATCACCTAGGCTCAGAATTATCGCGCTGTGAGCCTTTTCCAAGTTACTGTTTCTTTCTTTTTCGGGCATCTCAGTAGGCAACGCTGTTGGTCCTTGCAGTGCTTCCACAATTCCCTATTGTACTAGAAGGGCTCTCATCTTCTCTCTCCATAGGCCAAAGTCATTCTTTCCGATAAATTTCTTGATATCAAACTTGGCAGATCCCATCATCGTTGATTTGTTCCCACAGACGGCGCCACTTGTTGTGCAATCTACCAATAACTAATCGAAGAACGAACGCAGAACAAGAATCCAGAAAATCAAGACACCAAAATATTTACGTGGTTCGGTCAGTGTGACCTACATCCACAGGAAGGAATCAATTTAACTAAAGCAAACGAAACAAGATTACAAGATTTAGAACCAGAAGTAAGAACTCTCTCTAATTCTCTCAATACAATCTGATCTCTCCTTGAACCCTCTCAACTCACTTACATCTTTATTTATAACTAAAGATCCTCTCCAAGTTGATCGGTTCAGCAACCAACTGTCAAAGTCAATGACAGTTATAACTGAGATAGTTTTGGCTTCCAACTGTCGCAACCATCTTCTGATTTATACCATTGCCTTAGTCCAGTAAATTGTGAGTCATTTCAACATAACAGAAAATCAAGTCAAGCGCTGACAACTAGTCAGGTTGCCAGCATAAAGTAATTCTGTTGGTACCAAATCTGCTGTTGAGTATTCCATTTATATATGTTAAGTAGTTATTGCAGGCATCTATATCTAATTAACAAAGTATAAAATAAAATATCTTCTAAAAGTTGAACTAGGAAAGACCTTGAAGACGTTTAATTTCAGATTGGTCAGTTGAATGGTTGCTTATATATGTTTGAATCTCATCCGCATATTCTTTATGCTTCAAATGTAGAACACTGATCATCTCATGCAAAGTTTTAGCCTCTTCTTTCATCATATCATCAATCTTAGAAAGCTGCATCATAGTATCTGAGAGAAATATGTAATAATAATCAATATAAAACTGTGGATAGAAGTACTAAATAATGAAAAATAAACTGAAAAAATAACGAAAAACATGTGGAATGAAAAATTAAAAAGAACTGAAATATCTAACCTTCAACAGATAATTTTCCATGCGAAGAAAAAGTCATTCTCTCAGTTTTCATCCTCTCGGCGGAGATGGTATCCTGCAGAGATTTTATCAAGTCCCTAGTGGAGGAATGGCGTGCCGATAAAACTAGTTCAACATAATTAGCAATCCCATCATCGTCACTACTGTCAATAAAATCTGTTTCTAGAAGCCTACAAAGAAACATCTCCTCCACAGGGCATGTTGGTATAGAACCTAGAGAGAACTCAAGTTAATTTATTATTGAGAGAACTTACACTTGACATGTTTTTATTATTAAAAGACATGAATACCTCTCCTAACTCCCAAAAAGAAAAAAAAAACAAAAGAACATGTTTAACCAACAATTTAAGTTATCCTAACCTCGAGACTTGTCAGCATGGTCCAAGGTTTGTAAAACATTATGGCCTCCTCCAGCTCGTATTCCAAGCAGGACCATATCATCAACCAACTATATAGCAGAGTAACAAAAAAATCATGATAATTGCAAAACATACAGCAGTAAAAGAGTGTCATGAAAAAATACTGATTCACAGTTATCAGCATATCATCATAATAGATTTGCTTGTCTTTTAGTTCTTTATTTTTAGTTTCAAGATCATGCAATTCATGTCTCTGAATATCTAACTGCTGGACAAGTTTTTGATTCTGGTACTGGAGAACTGCTGCATCAACCTGGATAAAAAAAAATCCTTCTATTTTAAAGTCGAATGTGTAACAGAATTGTTGACGAAAACGGGTAAAGAAAACAAAAGAACACGAGAATTTTACGAGGTTCGGCAATGTGCTTACGTCCTCGGTGCCTAGGCGGTGCTAGAAGTTTTTATTCAATGATATTTTAGGTCTAGGTTACATCTCTATTTATAATAGAAAACCCTGGTACATAATTACAAAATTAACCCTGTACCGTACCGCGGGGGCTACGCCCCCGCACCCCCAACCCACATAATTCGTAACCCCACAACGAGATTTTCTTTATAAGGACAGTTGATGTTCGCTCACTCCGCTCCATCTCCTGTCCTCTTTACTGGTATATTTATGAGCCATACCTAACAATTCTCCACCTTGGCGAATATCCTACCTCTTGAAAATTCAATGTGGGTTGGGTTACCTTGATTCTTTAACAACTGGCTTAGTGAACATATCAGCGGCATTTTCATCAGTATGTACCTTCTGAAACAAAACCTCTCCAGATGCAACCAACTCTCTGATCTTGTGGAACCTTACATCAATATGTTTAGTTCTAGCACGATACACCTGATTCTTAGCCAAGTGAATAGCACTTTGATTATCACAAAGCAACTGAACTCCACCTTGTTGAACACCCAACTCCTTCACTAAACCAGTAAGCCATAAAGCTTCTTTTGCAGCTTCAGCCGCTGCCATGTACTCAGCTTCAGTTGTAGATAGAGCCACAATAGATTGAACAGTAGACTTCCAACAAATAGGCCCTCCATCAAGAGTAAAGACATACCCTGTCGTAGATCTTCTATTATCCAAGTCACCTGCATAGTCTGAATCCACATATCCTACAACCAAAGGATTATCCCGCTGACTCCCAAAAACAATTCCATGTTCCACAGTACCCTTTAAGTACCGAAAGATCCACTTGACTGCTTCCCAATGTTGCTTACCAGGTTTAGACATGTACTTACAAACTTGACTAACAGCATGAGCTAAATCAGGACGAGTACATACCATCGCATACATCAAGCAGCCAACAGCATTAGAATACGGAACCTTTGCCATATCTTCAGCTTCCTTATCTGTCTTGGGGCACTGTTCTGATGAGAGCTTAAAGTGATTCGCCAATGGAGTGCTAACTGGTTTCGCGCTGCTCATCGCAAACCTTTCTAGCATTTTCTCAACATAACCCCGTTGAGATAGCCGCAATTTCCTTGAGTCTCTGTCCCTGCAAATTTCCATTCCAAGAATTTTCTTTGCAGCACCTAAATCTTTCATATCAAATTCCTGACTCAATAAAGTTTTCAAACCGATAACATCATCCATGTTCTTCGCAGCAATCAACATATCATCAACATACAATAATAGAAAAATAAAAGAACCATCATCAAGGCTCTTAACATAGACACAACAATCATACTCACATCGGTTGTAGCCAATCTTGATCATATAGGAGTCAAACCGTTTATACCACTGTCTCGGAGACTGTTTCAACCCGTACAAAGATTTCTTCAATCTGCAAACTAAATGCTCGTTTCCAGGTTGAGTGAAACCTTCAGGTTGCCGCATGTAGATCTGCTCCTCTAAATCACCATGCAAAAAAGCAGTTTTAACATCCATCTGCTCTAAATGCAATCCCAACTAGCCACCAATGCAAGTACTGCTCGGATTGAAGTGTGCCTGACCACAGGAGAAAAGATTTCATCATAATCAACTCCTTTCTGCTGTGAAAAACCCTTCGCTACCAAACGAGCCTTGAACTTCTCCCCCTCTTTTTCTGTTACTACTGGTTTCTTCTTATACACCCATTTGCAACCAATCGGCTTCTTACCCTCAGGAAGGGGAACTAACTCCCATGTGCGATTGTGATTCAAAGACTCCATCTCCTCAACCATGGCTGCCATCCACTTGTCGTTTTCCTGACTAGTAACGGCATCATGAAAAGTAACCGGATCATCACTGCTAACAATAAGTGCAAAAGATACCAAGTCTTCAAAACCCAATCTGTTCGGAGGCTTTATATTCGTCCGTCTCACCCTGTCTCTGGCGAGACTATAATCCTGCAAATCATCCGTAGTGGAACCACCAGAAGTCGGTTGAGAAGTTTCTGGTTTCTCAACTGGAAACTGCTCGAAATCCACCACTGTCGTGTCTTGCTTCTGCTGCAACATGGATTGTTCATCAAAAACGACATCTCTACTAATCACAACTTTCTTCGCAACTGGATCCCAGAACTTGAATCCTTTGACACCTTTCTTGTAACCCAGAAAAATGCACTCCTTCGATTTTGCATCAAGTTTGGATCTCTCATCAGCAGGTACATGCACATAAGCAGGACAACCAAAAATCCGTAAGTTATCAAAACTAACATCATGACCAGTCCATACCTCTTCTGCAACTTTCCAAGCCAGCGATGCCCTTGGCGATCTGTTGATAAGGTAACACGCCATATTAACAGCCTCAGCCCAGAAGTGTTTGGGAAGCCCCGCATTCAACCGCAAACATCTGGCTCTTTCATTCAACGACCTGTTCATTCGTTCCGCAACACCATTCTGTTGTGGTGTCTTGCGCACTGTAAAATGCCTCTGAATCCCATGCTCCTTACAGAATTGTAGGAACTGTGAATCTGTGTACTCCGTACCATTGTCAGACCGCAAACACTTGATTTTTCGTCCTGTTTGGTTTTCTACCTCAGCTTTCCACAGCTTGAACTTCTCAAAAACTTCAGATTTCTGTTTCAAAAAATACACCCAAACTTTTCGTGAAAAATCATCAATAAAAGTAACATAGTACCTAGATCCACCCAAAGACGATGTCGTGGAAGGCCCCCATACATCAGAATGCACATAATCAAGAATCCCTTGAGTTGTGTGATTCGCAGTCTTGAAACGGACTTTAGTCTGTTTACCAAGAACACAATACTTGCAAAAGTCGAGCTTACAGCTTTTGACACCATGCAACAAGTTTCTCTTGTGTAATTCTGCCATACCACGTTCACTAAGATGAGCAAGGCGCATATGCCACAATTTTGTCGTATCATCACAGGACTCAACAGAGTGAACTCCACCTGCAACGGTACTCCCTAACAATCTGTAGATATTCCCTGCAGTCATCTTGCCTTTCATCACAGTCAATGCTCCTTTAACAATCCGAATGGTTTCCCTATCCTCGTCAGCCTTAGGGATAAAACCATTCTTGTGAAAAGTGCCCAAGGAAATCAAATTCTTCTTCAAGTTTGGGATATGTCGAACACCACTCAACGTCCGAACGGAGCCATCGTGCATCTTAATTCTGACATCACCAATACCAACAATATTGCAACATCGATCATCACCCAAATAAACCGAACCAGAATTAACCGGCCTGTATGTCGAAAACCATTCCCTATTTGGCGTGATGTGATAAGAACATCCAGAATCAAGAATCCAAGCATCCGTCAATTGTGTCGTTGAAATAGAAAGCATATCACCCTCACAACAATCAGAATTATCATCCTCGACCACGTTCACAGACTTGGATGAGCCATCACGCTTCTCATCAGTCTGCTTTTTCAACTTCGGACAGTCTCGCTTCATATGTCCCGCCTCCTTGCACTTGTAACAGTGAATCGTCTTCTTATCCCTGGATTTGGATCTGGAATTCCGCTTCCCGGACCCTGCCTTCTCTGGCTTCCGTCCACGATCTCGATTACCCTTGACATATAAGCTATCGGCTTGAGAGCTTTCCCCTGCATTCTGCTTCCGCTGGTTGTGAGCCAACAAGGCTGCAGTAATATCCTCAACATTGATAGTCTCTTTCCCATATGTAAGAGTAGTCACCATGTGTTCGTAAGAGGGAGGCAACGAACACAACAAAATCATCGCTCTGTCTTCATCCTCAATTTTCACATCAAGCCGAGCCAGATCAGAAACGATTTGATTGAAGACATTCACGTGTTGCGCCAAATCGTGATCGTCCTGCATCTTCAGCCCATACAACCGCTGCTTCAGATACAGTTTTGTCGTTAAGGATTTGGACATAAACTGACTTTCCAACTTCTTCCAAATTTCGTCTGGAGACGATAGATGCATGACGTGATACATGACCTCGTCTACCAAGCATAATCGTATGGTTCCTGCCGCTCGCTGCTGCAATTCTTCCCAATCTTCCTCATCCATCGACGCCGGCTTTGTAGATCGCAAAGCCTTCAAGATCCCTTGCTGCGCCAATAGATCCTTCACCCTCGTTTGCCATAATCCGAAGTTACCCTGACCATCGAATTTCGCGACTTCGAATTTTGCTCCTGACATCTGATACCAATTGTTGACGAAAACGGGTAAAGAAAACAAAAGAACACGAGAATTTTACGAGGTTCGGCAATGTGCTTACGTCCTCGGTGCCTAGGCGGTGCTAGAAGTTTTTATTCAATGATATTTTAGGTCTAGGTTACATCTCTATTTATAATAGAAAACCCTGGCGGAAAAGACAAAATTAATGTTGAATTTTGAATTTTCTTGACACGTTCATCAGCCTTACAAATGGAGGTGTATGACGAAATACCCTGATAATAGCAAGATAAAGTCTGAAAAAACAAAGATTGGATATATCTCCACTCACTGACACGTATGCCTAATATTGAATTAGGTTATGCAAAGGGCTTAGCGTCTCAACCTAGCAACATGCCTAAATTGGTAGTGGATTAATGGTGTCCAAGCATATTATTAGATGCCTAATAACTGATTCATGACAAATCTAGGAATGGTTTGAATCATAAAAGAGGTCATCATTTAACTAAAATTAGAGGAATCTTTTTTGGCTTCTAA